AATATTAGGAAAGGCCAGGTGAAGGGTACATGGAACCTCCATATACATTTATTTGTAACTTCCAGTGGATCCATAATCATTTCATAATAAAAGTAAAAAGAAAAATGACTGATACCAGGAAAAAGAAACTTCTCTAAATGGGCAGCTACAGGATCAATATGCTATTGAGCTACAGGTATTCTAGGAAGATAATAATGAAGGCAGCATTGGTTTTCAATCTCTGAATCCCCACATAAAAACCAACAGAGTCCTGGCCAGTTTGCTCAGTGCTTAGAGCGGTGGCCCACAGACCAAAGAGTCTCAGGTTTGATTCTGGTCAAGGGCGCATACCTCGGTTGCGGTTTGTCCCTGGCCCTGGTCGGGGTCACGTGGGAGGCAACCGGTCAATGTGTCCCTCTCATGTCGATGTTTCTCTCTCTCTCTCTCGCACTCTCTCTCCCTCCCTCCCATTCTATCCATTCTATCTGAAGATAAATAGAAAAGTATCCTTGGGTGAGGATTAAAAAAAACAAAAAACCAACAGAGCAACTGCAGAGGAAACACCCATGGACAACTCTACAATAAACATGGGTGACAAAATGCTCCACTCCTGGAGGGTGTGGGTCAAACTACCAACAGTTAAGACCTAATATAATGGTCTGTGTAGGAGGAAAAGTAAGGAAACAACCATCTGCCAGACCTGACAACAGAAGAACCTCAAAGCAGCTAATGGTTTGGAAAGCACAAAGACCGATTTTAAAAGTGTTAAGCTTATCCAGCAACATTGTTGAGTTAGTTTATTGCTTCTAGTAGATTACAGTGTTTCTTGGGTTTTCAAAGGAAACAACCATATGGTCCATAAATAATGAAAAGTTACTTCTTCCTTTCCCTTTTATTTCCTTATTCTGTCTTATTATTTTGGCCAACACCTTCAGTACTATGTATTAGAATCTCTGACAGTTTCTTGACTTCAAAAAGAAAACTACTAACATTTCACTGTTAGGTATATTTACTTAGACTTTCAGGTGGTCTTTATAATAAAAATGTTTTTTTTCTAATTGTGTCACAAGAATATGTGTCAAAATATTAACATTGGTTCAATCTTGGTAGAATATTGTGGTAAAAAATAATTGCAACTTTTTTGCTACTTCTCCCATTGAGAGTTGAAATTTAATTCACCTCCCCAGAATCTGTTAGCCTTGGTAACATGCTTGACCCTTGGTGTGTGGTAGAAGTAATGTTTCAGAAAGCTTCGCAGCTTCTGTCTGAGGCTCTTGGGACACTCTCTAAGAACCCTGAGCTGCCACATAAGTCTGGGCACCCTGACTGCCATGCTGGAAAGGCCACAAGAAGGTGTTCCACCAGATAGTCTCAAGAGTCAATTAGGCCTTGTCCAAATTCCTGAGCAACAAGCAACTCAGTTGTTTTAAGTCACTACCACTTGGGATAGTTTGTTAAGCAGCCACAGATAACTAGAACATAGGTACAAAAACTATTTTTCATGGGTTTACATTTTTTTCATTTAATAAAATTGAGTCTCCTATTCATTTTTGGATTTGAGGCTCTTTTCCACTGTTTAGGAAAACTAAAAAGGTAAAGTTAGGGAAGCATAGCCTCAAGGCTCTCAAGTCACTGCTATACCACTTTACCAATGCTAAGATCAGGTCTGCATAACCAGGGCTACCAGTCTAATAGGAGTGAATGAGAAAATAGTGTCCTTAATAGGTAGGTATTCCACCACAGGCCCATCATTTAGTGATGGCCAGCATCTTCATGCAAATCAGAAAAATGAGCACCTTTCTCTTGGAAGACATAACCTGACACATACTGGGATGAACAAAGTGCAAGGGGGACCTCAGCATTCTTGTTCAGGGGATAGTTAGTATAACCTGTATGTAATATCTTTATAATTTAAAGTGCAAGGCAACATTTCTACATTTGCAAATGATACAAATTCTTGTGGGTGGCAATGAACCAAGTTGATGAGACTGGAAAGATCTTATAAAACTGTGTGAGATGGCAGAAAGGTAGCAGAGGAGCACATTCCAGTGTACATACAAGCTATCAGTCATAGCTAACAAGGAGGAACTGGGGTACTGTAGATTGTTCCATGAAGATAAAAGCAGAGGCTCCTTCTGACAGTAAAACGAGCAGCCACTTAATTGAATCAACAAATGATATTCTTCCTGAGAAGCAATGCAGTAACACCCACTCAACTGATGCTTTGATGGAAGTTGAATAAGGCAGAAACCAACAGGAGAAAGACTGGAGAATAATTAACAGCATGAGGGCTCAGAGGTAACAGGGACTTCTATAATGTAACTGGGATGCAAAGGAAAACTGAGCAGATCTCATGGGGAGCAGCTTCAGGGGTAGGACCAGTGGCAGTGACTACAGTGTGTTTAAGACTGGAAACTGGTATCTGTGACGATGGTGGGAATGGCAGCAGCAGCAGCGAGTTGCTTTCCCAGCTGGTACCAGTGATGTTGGACAGCAGTGGTAGTACCAGACCATTAATGTTGGCAACAGTATAATAAAGATAAAGCAGCAGTCAGGAACTTGTTCAACGAACACTTCAACAGCTCTGACTGTTTCATGTATCATGTTATGCAGATAAATAAATTAACAATCACTTACTATATGCCCAGTCTCATAACATACTTTGTACTCATAGGAGTACAAAGATGATTAGAACATGGTCCTCACCCATCAGGGACTCAGAATTGAGTATTGGTAGCACACATGGGGACAAATAATTATGGCAATGAGGTAATTGTGGGGAAGAAATATGAACTGTATGGTCCAATGCAAAATGAGAAAATATATTCCTTTGCTCTAACATATAGCTAATTAATTTATTGATGTTGAGCTTAAAACTAAGGCCTTTAGATAAATCTTAAACAAATATTTCAAGAACCTTTAACATTGATTGCCTTTGGAGAGAACTAGGTGGCTAGGGACAGGAGCTGGAGAAAGACTTCACAGTAAACCTTTTGTAACTTTTGAGTTGTAACCATAACACTCTATCTATTTCAAAAAAAATAAGTTTTTTTGAAACACTTTAAAAGTTTAAGTTCCCACCAATAGTTTGTAATTAATAGCATTCTACAATCCCCTATGAGGCTGCAGAAAAATGGAAATTTCAGGAAAGAAAAATCATAACTGTTTTGAAAAAGCAAGGGAGAAATCATATAAAGGGGCAAAAGAATTGCTTTGTGGGGTTAGGAATCAGGGAAAGAAGCCCTTTGCTGCAACTATTACTTTCATCAATTCTATTCTATTGCTATTATCTTTAGCTCATTTTTTCAGTCTGTTGCTAAGGAACCCTATTGCCTGAAAGCAATTTACTAATAGGAACAGGTATGAAGCAAAAGAAAAGCAATGATCCTGAAATTTTCAAATTTGGCCTTTCTAATTTAATCAGTCTATTTTGGTGCTACTTAATACATTATCTTTCGTCTTTATGTAGTGCTAATGTGATGTTGAACGTCCTCCGTTGTACTCAAAAGGAAACTGATCACTTGTAAAATTTTAATATAGAAGTCTGCAGACTGGTATACCTGAAATGGGGAGCCACAGTTCTGAATTCTGATTCTTTTTTATTATCTTCTTAAAAATACTATGAATTCCAAACAATTCCTGGCAAAGAAAATTTTGAGATCTGCCGCAGAGCACAGGAAAAGGACCTGAAAAAGCTATTTGATATGTGAAAGCTCTGAACTGAAATTTCTATTTGGGAATGAGCTAAGAGGGCTGACATTTAGTGCAAAACAAGGACACTGGGCGATCAGAGCACGGGGAAGGCAGCGAGTATTTTAGGGAGTGTGGTGTGGGCTGAGGTGCCAAGCGTAATCCAGTACAAGATACAGATACTTAAAGAAAAGGTGGTTTGACCCAGTGATCTCACTTCTAGGAATATACCCTAAGAAGCCTGAAACACCAATCAGAAAGAATATATGTACCCCCATGTTCATAGCAGCACTATTTACAATAGCTAAGATCTGGAAACAACCCAAGTGTCCATCAGTAGACAAATGGATAAAAAAGCAGTGGTATATATACACAGTGGAGTATGATGCAGCTGTAAGAAAGACCTCTTATCCTTTGAGACTACATGGAGGGACCTGGAGAGTATTATCCTAAGTGAAACAAGCCAAGCAGAGAAAGACAAATATCACAGGATCTCACTAATCTGTGAAATATAACAAACATAACAGTCTGAGGAACCAGGTAGTCCCAGAGATGTGGAAGTGGGGTGCAGACTGACAATCCGCAGAAGAGGGGGTGGGGGAGATAAACCACAGAACTTATATGCATATATGCATGAACAATGGACATGGACAACAAAGCTGGGGACAGGGCGGGGAGGATGGGGGAGGGGGTATCAATGGGGGGGGGGAGTAAAACCATGTGTAACAAAAATTAATTAAATTAAAAATAAAATAAAAAAAGAAAAGGTGGTACTGTATCTCGGTCTTTGCTATTCTAACCATTCAGTTCGAGAACCGGTAACAACACAGACGTCATCGCTTTCAAGCCGGAGCACCAGGAGCCGCAGGCAGCCCCTTCAAGCCTTTCGACTGAGCCAACCTCGACTTGCTGGTTTCCACCTAGTCCAAACTAAAATCTAGCAGGTGCAGATAAGATCCGTGATACAACAGGTTATCTTCAGCTTTGAGCTCTTTCCTCTTGGGTCTTTAAGAGTCCTTCCACTCCCTTACTGTCCAGGATACGAGAGCCGAGAAAACGGCGGCAGAATCCCACGAAACGCCAACGTGGCGGTAATTAGAACACAAGGGTCCAAATTCACCAATAAACTGGGCATCTCGGCCTATGCCCCACCCACCAGCCCTGCCAGCCAATAAACCTTCACAAATCCTCGGCCGCTCTCGCCATTCGCGGAGCCACGGCAGAGCCTTCGTCTGCCCCGCTCGCCGCGCACGGCAAGCCCTCTGTGTACGCGCCGCTCCTCCGCGGGACATCGGTACCGGCGAGGCCAAGGGTCCGGGAAGAGAGTCTCACAAACAGCCGCGGAGTGAAAGGGAAGAAAGGGCTGCCCACGCTGCTTGCCGTGACCCGGAAGTGATCCTCTCATTCTCCTCCCCTCCACGGTTAAGAAAGGAGAAGGGCGGCTCGGTCTGGCCCGGCATGCCTTGGGCTTCCGGTGCCCTCTGGCCCTTTTCTGTCGTAGCCTCCTGCTTCCTAGCGTGCTCGCCAGCTCTCAGCCTTCCCTCCCTCCCTCCCTCCGCGTTCCCCCCGCACGCTAACCGGTGACTGTGGCGCCCGCGACCCGCGGAGAGGCGGTGGCGGAGGACGCTCGTCATGGCCGCCTCTAAGCCTGTAGAGGCGGCGGTGGTAGCCGCGGCCGCGTCCGGTTCCGGGAGTGGGGTGGGCGGCGGCGGCGCGACCGCGGGCCCGGGCACAGGGGGCCTGCCGCGATGGCAGCTGGCGCTGGCGGTCGGGGCGCCCCTGCTGCTGGGCGCGGGTGCCATGTACCTGTGGAGCCGGCAGCGACGGCGCAGAGAGGCCGGGGGTCGAGGCGACGCCGGCGGTCTTAAGCGCAACAGTGAACGGAAGACCCCGGAGGGCAGAGCCAGTCCGGCCCCGGGCAGCGGACACCCCGAAGATCCCGGTGCCCACTTGGAAATGGTGAGCAGCAGCCCTGGGCCACGGAGGTGGAACCCAGAGGGTGCAGACTCGTTGACGGGTTTTGCCTGTCAGGGGCTTCCTATCAGAAGGCCGCAGTGGGCTTAGGGAGAGTCTTTCCTGGCTACCATATAGGGGCTGGAGTAGCCCGAGGGCACCGGTTAGTGACCTTTGACAGTTTTCTTTTGGTTTCAGAAAAATATTTTTCTCGGTGACACAGCATTTTATCCCTAGCGTTGTGGGTACGGGGGACATTTGCACGTGCGATGATTGCGTTTAAGTGGTGAAGGAAACCAAAGCCCATTAAGGATGGGTATGTTGTGTTAGGAATTGCTTTGTTGGTTTCTATGGCCTGGCACCAATCGGCAATAATCTTTGAATAACGAGCCACTCCCCCACTGCCCTTTTTAGAATTGTTTTAGGGTGGGGGAAAGGTAAATACAATGACTGTTGGTTGACAGTAAAATGGTGTTCATTGGCTTTTTTTTTTTTTTTTTTTTTTCATCTGTGAGAGAGAGTCCTTAGACATTTTGGGTAAAAGCATCTTAAATTAGTTTTTTATTTTTCCTTGCCTGAAACATTCTCAGATGTTAGGCGAAGTATTAGAGTATCGGGTGAATTGCTTTGTATGGTTTTGTTGAACTATTGAATCCTTTTGGAATCTAACAGCTGTGCTGGGAATTGGCCAGGCTGCATTTAACACTAGCATGGGGTGGGGTGGAGGATTTTATCTGAGTCTGGGATTATACAATGTTGTTCCAGAATAAATCAGAGGTCAGAGAAACCTTTGGTCAAATAACTCCTGTTAATATACATTTACAAGTCATTTCCACATTATACTATTCAAGACATGTTTTACTAGGTAGTCAAATTAGCTTTAAAGGAAGTTTGATGTGGGAATGAATTACCATAGCTTAGTGCTTACTCTATGTCTGTCATGCTAGGCCACGAGAGAGCCGGATAGTTTTTCCAATAGAAGAGTACAACATTGCCTTTTTTTTTCAATATAGAAAAAGATGCACAACAGTATGGTGGAAGAACACATGGACTGTGAGAACTAGGAGATGTGTGCTTTATATTAGGCGCTCCAGCATAGTTACCTTGGGAAAGTCATTTTATCTTGCTGGCCTTAGTGTCATCCTGCAGAATAAGAGGATTAAAAATTAGATCTCTTACATTTCTTTTAGCCCTACCTTAGTGTCATCCTGCAGAATAAGAGGGTTAAAAATTAGATCGCTTACATTTCTTTCAGCCCTAAATGGTGATTCTGAGTGCTGCTAATGAGAGGTAATAAAGGGATTCTTAGACTTGGTCATCACTTGTCTCATGTCATTTTCACAGGTCTGAAATTCTCTAGTCATTTTCTAGTTCATTTTTATTTTATCTATTATTTAGTCCTCACCTGAGGATATTTTTCCATTTATCTCAGATAGGGAGGGAGAAAGGAAGGAAGAGAGGGAGGGAAACATCAATGTGAGAGAGATGCATCCATTGGCTGCCTCCTACCCAACCAGGGCCCGGAACTGAATTGCAACCAAGGTACATGCCCTTGGCGGAATCGATTCCGAGACTCTCTGGTTCTCTGGCTGATGCTCTAACTGCTGAGCCCAATCGGCCAGGGCCCTAGTTCATTTTTAAATTTAACTTTAATCATATAAGAATAGTGGATGAATAAAAAATACATAAAAGTTCTCAGTTCTGTAGTAATCACCAAAAATAAAGAGTTTCTATACATGAAATCAAGTTTGATATTGCATTGCATTTTCAAATACTGTCACACCTTACACATTTGGTTATTTGACAGAGTCTAGCAAACTCATTTTCAGTTTTTCAGCATTGTCTGAATCAGCACTATGATGATTTTAAAATTTCATGGTGTTTTGTAGTTTTATTAGAAAACTTTATTCACAATTGCCATTAAAAGTGAGACTTTAGATAACTTCTTTGTGTAACTTGAGCTGCTTTAAAATAATCTTACTATTTTTTTATCCAAAATAAAACTGGCAAATACTATTGTACATCTTGTGGAATTCGTGGCCTTGTACCTATAATCCGCTTTGAGTTAGTAGATGATCCCTTAGTATAGCGACAAAAATGTGTTTTTCATTAAAAAATTTTTTTCATCCTCACCTGAGGATATGTTGTTTATAGATTTTTTTTTTTTTTTGAGAGAGAGAAAACATCGATGTGAGAGAGATGTCTATTTCACTTTTAATAGAAATTTGTATTTTAACTATTTGTGACCAATAAATACTGGTTCTATAGTCTAGTCCTTAGAGTTATTAGATTTTCTAAATATAACTAGCCTAAATTGTAATTTATTTTCTGTGGTTGAAGAAATTGCTCTATATTTGAATACAGTATCTTTAAATTGGCAACCTCAGGGGGTTTCGTGGTTAAGGGAGCATTTGTTTCAACTAATGGAAAAACTGGAAGAATCCTGATGCCCTAACCGTTCTTTCTCTATCTGATCAACAGCAATAGTTTTTAAGGGAATGAAAGAATGGAGAAATATTGTGAGTTCAGGGATCAATATCAGTGAATAATGTGGAAAAGCAGTGGTTTTTGTCTTTGGACTTATGTTTGCCTTTATGTAAAATGAATAAAATTACTGAGGTTTTCTCTTTTGGGTTTCAGATTTTCATATGTAGTGTAGACTAGATCCAATTATTTGAGGGCAGGGGTTGGATAGCAAACACTTGTAATGAAAGTGCAGACATTTATATTTTGTTTAATTAAGGGAGAATTTAGGATTTCACTAAAGAAAGGCACCTAGCCCTGGCCGGTTTGGCTCAGTGGTTAGAGCGTTGGCCTGCGGTCTGGAGAGACCTGGGTTCAGTTCCTGCTAAGGGCACGTACCTCGGTTGCAGTTTGTCCCCGGCCCTGGTTGGGTCGTGTGGGTGGCAACATGTCCCTTTGTTTCTCTCTGTCTCTCTTCCTCTCTCTCCCTCCCACTCTATCTGTACAAAATATCGAAAAATATACTCGGGTGAGGATTAAAAAAAAAAAAGGGCACCTAATCACAGTTGACAGCATCTGAGATTGAGGTATAGTAGTCTGCCCTCATCCACAAAGGATACGTTCCAAATCCCCCAGTTGATGGCTGATAGTGCAGATAGTACCAAATCCTATATTTATAGATGTTCTTTGACTTAATGATGGATTTATCTATATAAACCCATCATACATTGAAAATATTGTAAGTCAGAAATGTGTTTATCATAGATTAAAATTTAAATCTGAAGTACAATTTCTACTGAATGCATATTGAGTTCACACCTTTGTAAAGTTGAAAATTAGTAAGTCGAACCATTTTAAAGTCGGGAACCATCCATACTGTGGTTTTTCTTTTACATACATACCTTGATAAAGTTTAGTGTATAAATTAGACGTAGTAACCTGCAGTTATATCATCTAAATAATTCTTTCCCCCCCAAATGATCTGTTTCTAGGAATTTTTTTTTTAATCATGGTCACCAATGACATGCCTATATATAATTCAGTTCAGTGAACACCTTTCTGTTTTTATTTTAAATGATTGTTGGCAATATTTCATATTGTTTTCTCTTAATTTCGTGACTTTTCCTGTAGCTTCTAAGACACTACATTCTCCTGATTGGTTGCCTGCCTCCTGCCTGCCTTCCTTCCTTCCTTCCTTTCGTCTTCTTTCTTCTTCTTTCAACTTCCTGATGATTCCTCTGCTGATTCTACTAAGTCTCCTTTCTAGGTACTTTCCTCTGCTTCTTTCTTTTGGTGACCTTCATGGTTCTATTATAGGCATCCTCTTTAAAAAAAAAAAAAAAAAAACGTGTGTGTGTGTGTGTGTATTTTTTTTTTTTTATTGATTTTTAGAGGGGAGGGAGAGGGAAAGAGAGAGAAATAGTGATGTGAGAATCGAACCAGTTTGGGATGACGCTCAACCAACTGAGCCACACCAGCCAGGACTAGATGTCTTTTCTTTTTTCTTTTTCCTTTTTTTTGGTTAATCCTTACCCGGGGATGTTTTTTCATTAATTCTTAAACAGAGTGGAAGGGGGAAGGGGGAGAGAAACACATCCAAGTGAGAGAGACAAATCGATTGGCTGCCTCCCACAGGACTCTGTCCAGGGCCAGGGATCATTGAACGTGAAACCCAGGTACATGCCTTTGACCAGAAATAGAACCCAAGACCCTTTGGTCCATGGGCAGACACTCTAACTGCTGAGCCAAACTGGCAAGGGCTAGATCTGTCTTTTCATTTTCATAATTCACCTGTATTCTTACCAGTATTCATTAAGTTTAAATTTATAACCATGTAGCTCATGGAAATTGAATACATAGTACCTAAGCCTTTCGTCTGTTTTGTTTTGAAAAGAAGTTAGTGTTTTTAGAACGCACCAAAGTTACATGTAGGAGGCCAGAGTGGCAGGAGTGGAATAAGACGAGTTTGGAGTTCTTGTGTGTAAGCAATGATAGTGAGAAATTACTAGGGGGTTTTGAGCAGGGAATGACAATTCAGCTTACTTGTTAAAAAGATGTTTCAGATCAATTAGAAACTGATTTGTTGTAAGAAATGCAGGGGAAAGATGCATTTTCACAGAAATTTGGTGTAAAATATTATAGAATGTTTAGAACCTTAAAAAAAAACTACCAAACCAAAAGTGATTTCCAGTAACATATTGCTTTATAGTTTTTAAAATCTCCTTTTTTTAAAAGTCTATAGCTATAGACTTTTCCTCCAGTGCATTTATTTTAATTTCTGCCTACTATTGGTCTCAAAGCTTGTGAAAATAGGGTCTAGTTCCCAACATAGCTGGTGTTGATTGATAATCTGGCATTGTGCACCCAGCTTTTCATCCTAAATTCCATCAATGGACCAAATAATGAGCTTTTCTGAACCGTCCCTCTTGTAATGCCATTCTTTCTTTGCCATTTTATTAATGAAGGGAAGCAATTGGGCAAGAAGTAATGGGAGGGGTGCATTGAGCAGAATGTGACGGGATGTTAACCAAGATCAAGAGCTA